TGCTAGAGAACCTTGTACTGAACCTGGAAAGCCCATTTTTGGCCTCAGTTAATGATGAAAGCTATTTTTGACTCGTGCAGGGTGGAAGGTGAAGGGCAGTATACTGACACACAAGGACTGGAGTGGTGCGGGAACTTTCATTTCACTGCGGCTCCCGGCCTGAAGCTGAAGCTGCTCATGTAGATCTTCAACAATGCCCTGGAATGTGGTAATTGAAGCGTTTAATTGTATGTAGAGCAACTGAATCTGTCATCTGAAGTGACTTTATACAGTACTTCTATACTTCTCCAACAAAACCATCACTCGTGTTTTTTCTCAACGTTGCATTCATCATTTTATAAGTGATTTAAAATAAAATGTCATTCAATTGAGGGTTAGTGTGTTTCATTAAACAAAGTCTGTTTCTAACCCTATGCATCAGTTTTATCATCTTTTAAAATGTATATCTATGCAACAAAGGACATTTTCAGGAGTGGGAGGAAATACTAAAAACGATCTGATAAGGCGCTGTGGTTAGTGCTGGCTCAACTGCCCCATTTGACAGAGTGGAGTTTCCTAGACGGTAATCTCAATGGAAGCAGACTACCTCATCTCTTCCACAGAAGGGTTGTTGGGTTTGAACCATCAACCTTTCAGTTAGTCGTTGAGGGCTTTGGGTTAGTATCTAAAAATATATGAATGGCTCCTCCTAAGCAACAAGACCCAAACCAAACTCACTGTCACTGAGTCAATGCCAAACCATAGCACCCCCATAGGACAGGTAGGACTGCTCCTGTGAGTTTTCAAGACTGGAACTCCATGAGAGTAGAAAGCCCCGGCTTTCTCCCGAGGAGCGAAGAGCAGCTGGTGGTTTTAAACTGCTGACCTTGCAGCCACTACATCACCAGGGGTCCTTAACAACAGTATGAAGACAACACAATTAGAAAGTGAGCAAAGAGTTTGAATAAAACTTTCTCCACAGAAGACAGACAAATGGATAATAGGCATATGAAAAGATACTGCAAATCAACCACAGTGTAGTTTACTTCTCGACCACTAGGATAGCTATCATTAAAAAAAGTCAGTCCGTGATGTTCATGAGGATGTAAAAAAGCCAGACTCCTCAAAAGTGGCTGGTGGGGAATGGGAAATGGGGCAGCCACTGCAGAAACAGTGCCTCCAATGTTAACCATAGAATTGCCATATCCCTCAGCAATTCTACATCAAAATATATGCCCCCCAAAATTTAAAACCTCTTTCCAGGAAGGCTTGTATGTGAATGCTCATAGCAGCATTATTCCTAATAGTCAAAATGTGGAACCAACCCATGTCCATCAACTAACTGATGACTAAACAAGATATATAGCTCTATGTAAAACTCCCAAACAACAAACAAACAAACAAACACTACTATCAATTCCAACTCATAGTGACCCTATAAAACAGAGTAAAACTGCCCTTGTGGGTTTCTGAGAGTGTAACTGTTTATGGAAATAAGACGCCCCATCTTTCTTCCTCAGATTTGAACTACTGACCTTGTGGTAAGCATCCCAATTTATAACTCACTACACTACACTGGGCTAAGGAGAAGAAACCAGTCGCAAAAGACCACATATTGTATGATTCCATTTATATGGAATGTCATGAATAGGTGAGATAGTCAATGTTTATTGTGCCAACCTGGCCGATAAACACGTGGGATTAACTGAAGGGAGAAGAAATAAATGGCTTGGTGAGCCTCATCTTTCTAGTTCTCTGTTTCTTGCTTTCTGATGGTCGGACCAGGGTACAGCTGCCTTAGCCAGTTCCCTGCTTCAGCTGGTAAGGCTCACTTCCTGCGAGACATCCCTGAGGAGAAGCCACAGGGACTTACCCTGATGCAGCCCTGGGTGCTGGAGCTGCTGTGTGGAGACCCCTGCCAGCGCCGAGATGCTTACACCGCTACTGGATTCACAGACTTTCTATCCACTGGCCTGTGATTCTCCTGCATTCAGCATCATTGTGTGTGTTTTGTGAGTTTGAGGAGGACTTTGTAGTTCAGTGTCTGACATATGGGTTAAGTCAGACTTATGGGCTTGAATTGGACTAAGTTGGGATGTTTTCTGAATGCACACTTAGTCTATACGTAAAACTCTCCCTTATACAGATATGAGTTTCATGGAGATTACAGTCTAGGAAACTACACTCTGTCAAATGGGGCTGTTGAGCCAGAACTAACTATAGCCCCTTATCAGATAATTTTTAGTATTTCCTTCAATAAACATGTGGGATTAATTGAAAGGTGGAGAGATAAATGGCTCGGTGAGCCTCGCCTTTCGAGTTCTCAGGTCTCTTGCTCTCTGATGGTCAGACCAAGGTGCAGCTGCCTTAGCCAGTTCCCTAATTCAGCTGGCAAGGCTCATTTCCTGTAAGACATCCCTGAGGAGAAGCCACATGGACTACCCCAATGCAGCCCTGGGTGCTGGAGCAGCTGTGTGGAGACCCCTGCCAGCACTGAAATGCTTACAAGCTCGCTGATTTGGCTTTCCTCCTGCAGTCAGCGTCATTGTGTGTGTTTTGTGAGTTTGAGGAGGACTTTGTAGCTCTGCGTCGGACATATGGGCTAATGTTGGACTTGTGGGCTTAGACAGCACTGGGTTGGGATGCTTTCTTAATGTACACTTAGCCTTTATATAAAACTCTCTCTTATATACATAGGCGTTTCTGTGGATTTGTTTCTCCAGACTAACACAGTAGGCAAATAAATGCATAGACACGGAAAGCTGATTAGTGGTTGGGAGTGGGGTAGGGTGGAGAGGGAGGTTTGGGAGGTGGGGAGAGGGATGAGCGGTACTAGGGTTTGGGGAACACAGTTAACTTAGCCATTGGGCTACTAACTGCAAGGATAATGATGTTTGTACAATCTTGTGAATGTCCTAAACATCTCTATATCATGTATCTCAAAAGGGTGAACTTTATAGTATTCAAGCTGTATGTACACTGATCTACATGTCTGTATCTGTATCTCAATTTCTAGAAAAGTAGATCTCTGTGTCTTCACATAGCCAGTGTTCAGAAAGCTGCTGTACTTTTTTGATAAGATAATAAAGTATCAGAGCACTACCTAGAAACTACATTTAGAGAGTTAGAATAAAGACCTGGCTTTTTGTTGAGACTGTTTTCTCAAGATGACAGTCGTTAGATAACATAATCTGTCGTATTTATTTACTCAAAATATGAGTATTTGTAACCTGAGTATGTTATTTTTATTGTAATTTTTAAAACTGTATAGCTGTAAATTGGTTCAGATATCTTTTTAAAATGTTTAAATAAAATTTCATTTTTCTTAGTTTTTCATTTCAATAGCTTTCTGTTTTATTTCAAAAGACCCTGTTTATAAGTGAAGATACATTTTCCAAACCAGCCATTCTTAAATGTGTTGCTTTTTGTTAGGTGGTCTGGTTTTAGTATGAAGTATTTATTACGCCGTCCTGGAATGTATGAGGTGTTAAATACTAGTCAAGTAAAATAAGGTGAGAGAATGTTTTCAAGTACCAGAACACCAAACATCTAGAAAATACTTGATAAAAATACCTGTTTTACTGTCAAATTATTGGGGAACTCCTCAGTAATATTTTTCTTCAAACAAAAGGTAAGGTATGAGTTTTACTTTTAAAACCTAACTTTTTATTGCTTTAAAAAATATCAGTTGTCAACAACAACAACAACAACAAAAAAATCAGTTGTCAGTGATAAACTTCCAAAGTCATTCTTCTTAAATCATTTTTTTTCTTTTTACTCCTTGAAACTACAGGAGGTTCAGTTATTTGATTAGTGGGTGCTAGAATTTGACCTGGAGCTTACATAATTAGCAGAGATGTTAGTTTTTCCCATTTAAAGACCTCATTAGAATATGATGAGCTCTTTTCAGGGGAAGTCAAATCAGCTACCTCTGTACTGCTGCTTTTACCTTTAAGTTAATCCAGAACTCATCTAAGCCTGGATCTGAGCATGATTTAAACACGGCAAGCACGATGGGGTAAGTGTCTGCTTTTGTGATTTTTTTTCAGAGACATTGAAGAGGGAAATAGTTTCTTAAGAGAAGAAAACCCATACATCCTTATCATGTTACTAATTTAGATTCATAAGCTAACACTTATTTAAGGCAGCCATTCCAAGGAACAACTTTTCATTCAAAAGTTCTACCAATTTATAAAACATCCATTTATTTTTAGATTCTGCTTAATCCTTATTTAATTTTTAGGTTCTGTCTTAACATCTGTCAGCTAATGAAATGTTTTGCAGACTAAAGAGTCTTGCAAATTTACATCTTTATTTGAAGTCACAGATTTCGAGAGCACTAACACAGAAAGGATGGTAGGATTCTTAATTTACCAAGATGACTTAATTCCAATATAAACATGCCTCTTTGGGACTATGTATAATTAAAGGATGAAAAAGATTAGAAGTGGAGGGACATTGATTTAATAAGCCTTTTGTAAAGCAGGAAAACGATAGGTTATTTTGTCACCGCTCAAGCCAGGATGTGTAGCAAAGGTACGCTGATTGCTTGTACAGGAGCATTTGTTATGAACATTTTAAGCATCGTGTTGGGTTTGGGGAGCATGAGGGGATGTTACTAGGTTTCACTGACATGTGTTCTGTGAGAATAGGCTTTCATGATAATTCGTCTTGAAATTAAGTATTTTAGATTTAAAACTAGAGGAAATGTAGTCTGAATATATAGAATTTCACCCTTGTATCTCTTTTTTGTCTTTAAAAAATAGTCCCTTTCATGACATTCTATTGCCATAAATGGGTTTGCCTCTTTCCCTGAACTCTTCATCTGAAGAACCCACGTTAAATGATCAGAAACTTATGCTGGAGAAATAGCCTTGTGACCCACATTTGTTCTAAACAGTTTTCACAAGGTTAATTGTTAACATCTAAATTTTCGTTGTTAATATGGGTTCTGAAAATGCAGCCCAAATTAGTTTGAAAACTCAGAAGCTTTTGAAAGAAAGACGAGCAGGCTAGAGTTGACTTTCAATACAAATATAAACTGCATTTAAAGTAAAAAGTGAAGGGTCATGTGTTTTGTACATGTTTTACAGCCCATATTGGGTTGATTTGATTTGAGACAGAGGTGATAGGACTCCTGGGTTCTCTGTCTCCCCTCCTTTTCTTCCCAGTCTTTACATCAACAGAGCCAGCTCCTAGTAACCCCAAGCCATGGGCATTCAAAGAACTGCTTCCTTTTCTAGTTCTTTTCCGGGCACTGCTTCTTAACCTTTTATTGGGTCAAGGATTCCTCTGAGAGATTTTAGAAATCAGTTCACCCCCTTGGCAAAAAATTAAAATTACACAAAATTTTGCATGCAATTTTAGGAGACTTACACATGCCCTGAATCCAAACTATGGGTCCCAGGTTAAAAATCTTTGAATTTTAGATTTAGAACAATTTATAAGTGGTTCAGTTTTTTCCCCCTCTTAATTTCTGGAAAGTAAAAAATGTAATAGTGTTTAATAATTCATGATAATCATCTCACAGAGTAATGTTGATTCTCCCAATCACTCCTACTCCCTCCACAACCCTCCCCTACTCTACATGAAAATTAAGCAGCTTAACTAATATCCATAGTTTTGACAATAAAACAGTCGCTCTTCCTCTTAAGACTAGGCTAATCATTTGACCCCTTTTAAAACATCCAAGGAATCACCTTGGTAGTTGCAGAAGAAAAAATACTTATTTGTAAAGCACTTTCAGTGCCCTAAATAAGATGAACTAAACAAAGCATGAATTGCTAAATATTATACAGAATACACAGGTTGCCCTTCCGATTGGTGCCTTGATGGGTTTTTTGGTGTCTGTTCCTGGCCTACTGAAGTTGAAACTGAGCTTTTATTGATAAAAGAGAAGTTAGTAGATATTAATGAAGCCCTGGTGGTGCAGTGGGTTAAGCATGGGCTGCTAACTGCAAGGCCTGCGGTTCAAACCCACCAGCTGCTAGAGAGAGAAAGGTGACGCTGTCTGCTCCCGTAAAGATTTAGTCTCAGAAATCCTAAGGAACAGTTCTCATCTGTCCTGTAGGTCACTGTGAGTCGGAATCCATTCAATGGCACTGGGTTAGTAGCTATTAATACGTGTTTAAAACCTTCCTACACAATCTGAAAAATGACAAGTAGTGTCTCAAATTGCCCATATGTAGAACTCCCTAGACAGAACTCCTGAGAATCGATCCTTTTCAGCCCTTACTAAAGGCAAAGGAGTAGCTAGCAGGTGCCATTCCCACAATTTGCTGCTGGCACGAACACTGGAGGCTTGTGTCCACACCTCAAGGCCCCTCAAAGGAAAGGCCTGCCCAGCTACTTGCCAATATCAGTCATGGAAAACCCTGCCCAGTGCCACTCTGCTCTGTGACACGCACGCAGTGTGGCCATGATCTGGAATGGGTAAGCTGGCAAGGAATCATCTAAGGGTTATTTGAAGATACAATGTCTTTATGTGGCTACAACGCCTTTCCAGTGCCTCCAGGCTCTGCTAGAGTAGCAAGTGTGAGAAAATCCTCATGCTCTCTAGAAAGCTGTCACCTCTCGAATTTTCATGGGGTTTTCTTATGGAGTGTGTGGTGGATAGAGGTGGATAAAAGGACAACTGGGGAGACACAAAATCATCTCCCCAAGCACCCCCAAAGCCAATCTCTTTGCCATTAAGTCGATTCCAATTCAGAGCAACACCCGCTGGTGGCAACAACATCAGAGCAAAGGGTGAACAATGGAAAGGAAGAGAGGGTTACATTGTCTTTGCTGAGGTGTTTTCAATTCCTGGGCATCCCCACGTCCTTCAGGACAGGACTATTAGAACCAGTCAGTAAACACGGCAAACTCACGGCCATCCAGTTGATGCCGATTCAAGGTGACCCCACAGGAGAGGGCAGAATTGTCCCTGTGGATTTCTGAAACTTTAAGTGCTGATGGGAGTAGAAAACCCCGCCTTGCTCCCGCTGGGGGGCTGGTGGTTTTGAACGGCTGACCTTGAGGATCTCAGCTCAAAAGTGTAACCTCTATGCCACCGGGTCTCCTAGGTCTGTCAGGGCATCCCCTCAGTTGACATCTGGGGAAAAGAAAACTTGAGGCTCTGGTAAGATTGTCAAACCCCAATACTTCCTTATTACAGCATATTTACTGCCTTTTAGTTTCCCAGTTAAAATGATATTTAAGGTTTGGGGTTTTTTTTAATGCTCTTTTTTGGACAGATCTTTCACTTCTAAGTCTGGGAATTACAATAGAACTTTTTCTTTGGCAAAACATTCATTTATCTCATGCACTAACCTTGAGAGTGTTGCTCCTCTCTAGTCCCTCTTTTCCTTTCTGATGGTAGTCACTTCCCTATTGAGGCCATCATTCCTGCCCCCGCCCTTGGACTACTGAAGGCTCCCACTAATGGGGCTTTTCACAGCAGTCCTTCCTTTCTTGTGCCCTGGGAGTCAACCAATTACAGAGCACATGTGATCTTGGGAAACCCCTGCTTGAGTCCATGTTCTTGACAATGCAACACAGGCTCCAAAGAAGAGAAACACGGCCCTCCCCCTGCCCCCAACCTACCTGCCTCGCCTTACCGTGTACTATGCCCTCCGTCCTACCTGCATTTCTTCCTCCACTTCTCCTCTCCTGATTCGCTCGTAGCATTTCTATACCTTGTCCAACTCATACGCCATTTTCTCTACGAAACTTTCTGCAATCCCCACAAGTGGGGACTCAGCTTTTCTCCTCTAAAAGTTTGAGGTGCTTTATAGTTTTCCTCTTGCACGAATCTATCCTGTGCTATACTCATTTGTGTCTTACCATTTTCTGTATATACTGGACGCTGCTTGAAGCCGGATGATGTCATCTCTGTATTTCTCTCAGCGCCTTGCACAATATGTGTGATACATGCTTAACAAAGACATGTTGGGTTCAAATAAACATGTATTTTCCCCCCTAAAAGCCAAACAAAAGTTGAAAACTGCTCTTTTAGCCAAACCTCTCTTCTTTTTCTCCTAATTGAATGGCCCCATTTTTAAAGGTTTCTATTTGAAACCCAAATAAATAATGACCATAGTATGATTCATGCAAAGAAGAAAGGATAAAAACAAGGGTTATAGTGACACATTTAGAGGCTTCTTTCTGAGAAGAAAAATTGCTAGTAAATAGAAACCATATATAGGCTCAAAGAAAACATGAAAAACCTTCGAGAATGAAAAAAATGGTTCTTTAATTCTAAGCAGGTTCCTGGAGGGCCAACTTATCAGTAAGGATTGGATTTATCATTATGTGTTGTGTGGTGTTTTTTAAAAGGTTAAGCAAACCAAAAGTTTATTTTCCTCTTAAACAAACAAACAAACAAACCCAAACCAACAAAAACATACAGAGTTAGGCAGTAAAGAATTGTGAGAACTCTTCCGGGGTGTCAGGGACCGCAGGTCCTTCTAACCTGCTCTTCTACCCCCACTAGTGTGTCACCTCCAGGTCCAAGCAGGTGGCTCGGGCTTTGTCTCTCTCACTGATGTCCAGCCAGCAAAAAGGAGGGCTGGGAAGGAAATGGTGTGCTGTTCTCTTAAGACGACGTCCCACAGGGCACTCACAGGATTTCCATCGATAGCTCCTGGGTAGAAATCTCCCCTGGTGGCTACACAGAGCTGTGAGAGAATGGGCGAGACATCGTTGGAGGGGAGGGCGGGTGGTGGTGACAGGCTATGACTAAATGAGTAATGGGTGACAATCAGCAATATGTGACAAAGCCAGCAAGTGTCAAGCCTTACATAGCTTCTTATCTTCCTTTCAAGGCAAAGTACAGCATTAGATGTAAGAGAAAGTGTAAAGTTTATGAAAAATCTGCTGTAAAGGTATGGAGGGAACAAAAAGAATAAACCAAACTGGGAATAAATAGATTCACCTAGGATACAATAGAGTTCTTAACAAAATGACAATGATGACTAAGTAAGCCTTTAGTTTCCACTTGGCTTCTCCCCCCCCCCTCTTCCAGCCCCTCAGGTTCACCTCCCTCAATCCCCTTATCCACCCAGTGAGCTGAGGGTTCTAACGAAGGCAATTATACAGATCAGTCACCAATACGCAGAAGGATTCAAGGACTTGCCTAAATTTCCTGCCTTACTGCCCAGGAGACTTCTGAGAATGAAAAACAAATAAAACAGGCTTGGAACTTACAGTCTGGTTGGGGGGAAATACATATCATCATAGGCTGTGCTTCAGATGGATTTTTGCTTAATTTTGAATGCAGATCACCTCAATTAACCCCTACAGAAAATACGATGACAAGTTTTCACTTGTGGATTGATGTAGCTGATTTCATTTAATTTAAAATGCTTAGGGAAAATTGTGGCTCTCAACATTTTAGGGTCAGATGACATGTTTTGAAAACTTTTGACTCAGCAAAGCCACCCCTCTTCCTAAGCCATCTTGTATATCAACTATGTTTTTCAAATACCTAGGAATTTATTTTTATGAGTCCCACTACTCACAAACACTGTGGTGACAAACCCAAGGAACTTCAACATGAAAGGGCTGAACTTTTTATTTTATATATGTCTGAATGCTTAGAAATGGTTAACAATGATAATGAATTACACAAATAATAAAACCTTTAAAAACCAGAAAAGAAGGAGCATGGTTTTTAATACAAAGTACATGTCATTATCAATGGCATTTTGTTTTTTATAGAACCACTAGAAATATCAGGAAGAAAACCTCATAAAACATGATGTGATATCTACTGTTGGGGACAGGCCACAAGGTGAGTGGAAATTGCCAAGAACTTTTCCTAAACAGGACACATATAACCTGAGGCCTTTAATATAAACCAGTGGTTATTCTCAGTGTATAAATACACCAGTTGTTTTGAAGAATTTGCATAGTCTCCATTTGTTTAAAAACAAACAAAAAATAAAACAAATTATGGGATTCATTTATTACTTAGCAGTCAGTTAGCTTTTAAACAGATTTCACTGTATGCATGAATGTTTACCTTTCTAATCATACCCACTATTGAGAAAAAATGATAAACTCTTCTTTAAGAATGTGACAAAATAACAGATATCATTAAGAATTTAAAAACTTACACACTCGTAAGAACTGGCAACATTTACTTTACATTCAACTGCCATGTACTGAGTCCTCACTGTGGGCTAGGTCTTCTCAGATAAGCTCTATGTGGAACAGGTAAGAGCCCCATTTTATGGTTGAGGAGATATAGTCTTATCAAGCTTATGTAACTTGCCCTGGGGTTGCAAAACTAAATCAGCAGTAGAACTGGGATTTAAAGCTCGTAAATAGAAGAAAAAAGCTCCATGGTTCAAAACATTTTTAAAAATGAAAAACCAAAAGTGCTCACTGTTAAACAGTCAAAACCAAGGCAGACGAGTATCCCCTTCTACCTCCTTTCTCTTTTCAATCATAACCTTTCTGAGTGGTTTGGTCTAAATCCTTCCATAGCTTTCCTTTTGTCCAGTGTACTTTTCACTGTATCGCCTTTCTTTTCGGCTTAAAAAAATTAATGATTACGATAGGTTGAATGGATGATATACTGTGTATGCTTATTAGCATAAACATGTACCTTTAAATGATATTACTGAATATCCCTTCACTCCATGAACATTAAATCAAAGAAGACTGGAGCTGACTCTGTGTCTCCTAGGAATGCCTGATCTAGTGCAGTGGTTCTTAATTTATTTTTGAGAGAGTAATTATGGACTCCTTTGAGAGTTTGATGTGAGTGCTGAACCCTCTCTCTGGAGAAAATGAACCTACATAAGATTCTGTCCATAATTCAAGGGATTCATGGACAACCTAATGGAGTATGGACCCTGCTCTTATTGAAGTGAAAGACTTAATAATGTAATGCAAGCATTATAAGAGAACTGTGGTCAGGGTGCAATGTAGCAACGATGAAAAATACAACTTTCCTCTAGTTCCTAAATGTTTCCTCCCTGCTCCCACTATCATGACACGAATTCTACCTTGCAAGTCTGGCTAGACCAGAGGATGTACACAGATAGGAAATGGAAATACAGGGAATCCAGCGCGGATGATCCCTACAGGACCAGTGGTGTGAGTGGCGATACTGGGAGGGTAGAGGGAGAGTGGGTAGGAAAGAGGGAACCGATTACAAGGAACTATATGTGACCTCCTCCCTGGGGGCCAGACAACCGAAAAGTGGGTGAAGGGAGACGTTGGACAGGGCAAGATATGACAAAATACCAATTTATAAATTATCAAGGGCTCATGAGGGAGCGGGGAGCGGGGAGGGAGGGGAAAAATGAGGACCTAATGCCAGAGGCTTAAGTGGAGAGGAAATGTTTTGAGAATGATGAGGGCAATGAATGTACAAATGCGCTTTACACAATTGATGTATGTATGGATTGTGATAAGAGTTGTATGAGCCCCTAATAAAATGATTTTAAAAAAAGAAGAAGAAGTGTGGGCAAGATGCTGTGGCATCACAGAAAAGCAATGGCTTAACTCTTATGGGACAAGAAAGTCAGGAGTGTATGACACCTTCACAATCTCTCGAAGGACCCTAGGAGTTTACCAGCTAGCCTGGGGTCAGGGAAGAAAACTCTGGATAAGAGAAGGATGTCCAGATGAGGAAGTAGCATTTGTCAAGTTCAAAGGCCAGAAAGAAGAGGAAAGCACACATTTTTCTTTGTAATTAGAGCCCAGTGTTTTGTTTTTGTTTTGTTTTTTAAACACAGATAAACTTAGGTCCAAAAGAAAGCAGAAAATAATAAAAAATTGAAAAAGTTAAAAATGGTTCAAAAGGGAAAAAAAATGGTAAGACCTTAACTTTTAAGCTAATGATACCTTCAGTAATCCATTTTCCCCCAATGGACTCTAACTCTTCACATATCTGGTCAATGGTCCAAGGGAATTCAATGGAGATTTGGGGGCTTTCACTGTCATCCATCACCCTCTGGAAACTGGGTGTTCAGAATTTAAACTCTAATACAATTCCCTCCTCAAGTCTTGGACTTTATTATTTCCAATCTTCGGATCACACATGGAGCGCAGTGTATTTTGAAGTGATTAAAGATGAGCTTGCAGAGCTAGGCAGAGACCAGATTATGAAGGGGTTTCCTTTTTTCTGTTAGAACTCTTGAACTTTACAAGTCACAGAAGGATTTTAATCAAGATTTTTGTAGGTAGATAAAAGTCTGTGATTAATTAATAATTACATGATCAGAGAAATATTCACTTGAATGATGGAATAAGATTAAAATAAGAAGCCAGCACCATTTAATTTAGATCTGTTGGGGGAATCATTGACAACAGGTTATTAAGAAGAGACCCCACGGAAAATCAAATAGAATTGATTAGAAGGTTATTGCATGTCTTATAAATTTTTTCTTAAAACAGAGGCATTTGATCTTTGCCAAAGGGTAGTTCTCTGAAAGATTTCTCAGTATTACGCATGTCTATATAGTGAGCTCTTGAAAAATAAAATGTGTAGTCTAAGTGAAATATCCCTGATTTTACCTTTGTAAAAAAGAAATTAGCCCTCCTTGCTATCAGAACAAAGTTCTGAATTTTTTTCTTTGGGAAAAAAAAATCACAAAGCACAAACATCCTGGGATTCAGCCTCACTGGACAAACTTGTCCTAATTGTCCACCTCAAAAAGTGATTTCTTTCCCACTACCATGACTCGAATTCTATCTTGCAAGTCTGGCTAGACCAGAGGATGTACACAGATAGGAAATGGAAATACAGGGAATCCAGCGCGGATGATCCCTACAGGACCAGTGGTGTGAGTGGCGATACTGGGAGGGTAAAGGGAGAGTGGGTAGGAAAGAGGGAACCGATTACAAGGAACTATATGTGACCTCCTCCCTGGGGGACAGACAACCGAAAAGTGGGTGAAGGGAGACGTCCGACAGGGCAAGATATGACAAAATACCAACTATCAAGGGCTTATGAGGGAGGGGGGAGCGGGGAGGGAGGGGAAAAATGAGGACCTAATGTCGGGGGTTTAAATGGAGAGAAAATGTTTTGAGAAATGATGTACAAATACGCTTTACACAATTGATGTGTGTATGGATTGGGATAACAGTTATATGAGCCCCTAATAAAATGTTAAGAGAAAAAAAAATTTACCATGAAAAAAAAAAAAGTGATTTCTTCTGAAAGTGCAAGTCAATTTTGTACCCCTTTCTGTAAGATATCAAAGAAGGTGACAATATTTTAAACTGCTTATTGAGTAAAAACATCTATCAGGTGATGTTGATCTTGGAGCTATAAGCCCAGCACTCTAGTAAGTATCCGGTTTGTGCCCAGGTGCTATGGGGTAGGAATAAGAAATATGTCTTCTCTGATGGAATTTCAAGTGTCTGGAAAGCGCACGTAGAGCCTGTCACTGTCATTGCCAGCAGGGGGAGCTACTCATAATACGCTATGAGAACACAGAGGAAGAAGGGTTGACGAAGTGTGAGGTGGAGGATCCAGGTGCAGACCTCCCGGAGGAGGAAGTGTTCCGACTGAGCCTTGAAGAAGGAGTCCTTCACTGGTTCAGAAAAGCTATTTGAGACAGGGAGGCCAAGAGGAGCAGAGCACAGAGGAATGAAAGTGCTTGGCATGACCGAAATGCACAGACCATCAACATCTGCAACAAGTACCACACACATAATAATTGTCACCAGATATGATAAAGCTTTGTTTGACATACAATAAAAATGGAGACAGGGATCAAGTCATTTCAGCCGGTCTAGTCATTAGTTCTTAAAAGTAGCATAATCGTATCAACTAATGTCAAACTGGCTGTCCTAACACAGGGCCAGCTCCAGCACAGGCAGCCTCTCCAGAGTCAGGGTCAGGGTCAGGGTCAGGGCCAGGTGGGAAGGGCTGCCTAAGAGGATAGGCATGGTAGTGGTTTGCAGAGCGGATGGTGAGATGAGGTGGAAACGTAAGGTTCCATAAGAAGAGCTGGATCTAGGTAGCTGGGTATACCAGATAGGCTCAAAAAACCAAACCAAACAATGCTGGTATTTGTTGGAATGGATTTTCTTTTGGTGCCCAGGATTTGGATAAAGGAAAAGCTGATCCTCACATGGAGGAAAGCCTCTCTGATAGCACTTCAGCCCTCACACTGACTGCATCACTCAGCCGAAGAAAAGTCCTGGAAGAAAACAGACTCGCTCTTCTTAGAACGGTTTCTGGGGATCGTCCATTTTTACTCAAGTCTGCCTTTAGGATGCTTAAACCCCGCCCCCCCCCACCGACACCCCCCACTCACACTTAAGGAGATGCATAGCATTTCATTCAATCACAGAAGATCCTTTCCTTGAGAAAAGTCCTGGTACACCATCATTACATGCCCAGGGATGCTTTAGAACTACTGTATCGGCCACTTCTTGACCCAGCTCCAACCCTTCTCCTGGCCCATGGGGTGTCAAGAAACTGATTGCATGAAGTTGTGTTGAAAGGTTATGGACAGATATTCACTGCTATTGAGTCTATACTGACTCATAGCAACCCTATAGGACAGAGTAAAACTGCCCCTGTGTGTTTCCAAGATGGTAAATCTTTACAGGAGCAGAAACCTCATCTTTCTCCTGACATGCAGCTGGTGGATTTGAACCACTGACCTTGTGGTTAGCAGCACAATTCATAACCCACTATGCCACCAGAGCTCCATTGTTACGGACACAAGCTCTCATTTCTGGCTCCTGCAGTGATGAGTCAGCTCCTGGATGGGACTTACCTCTGAGCGAGCTGCTGCAGACCACAGATGTCTAACACATGGC